GGGGGGAGGGGGAGGGCTGTCCTGACAGAAAAGGCATTTTATCCTATTTTCCATCGTTCGTTGAGGTAGAAATGGAAACTCTGCATCGTGCACTGAGCCGCGGGGGAATCTATGTGAGTGATAGTGTTACAGGTCACAAGGACACTCTGTCCCCTTGGGGTTGGAGCAGAAGGATGGGGTGTATGGACAACGGGGTCATTTCCTGATCGGCAGAGACGGTTTTGGGCGACGTGGACGACGATTGAGATGATTTACAGGTTGTGGCTTGTATGACATAGAGAGTGACGTGGATTTAAAAAAAGAAGGCGACCGTTAACTCTTAGAATAGGAAGGCTATTAATCTTCTTTATACACAGCCATTTCTGTCCTCATGTTTTTCAGCACAATAATAATCTTTATGACTCGACTCTTATCTAACATATTTGTACTGAATTAACTTAAAATGCTTGGATTTCAACCCAAAAAAAAAATGTCTGTAAACAACTAACACTGTGCACTAGCTGAACTGGCGCGCCGTATGTTAAGAATTCAGCTTGGTGGGAACCGTTTCTTTGTGTCGAGCAACCGTGTGTACACTTCCTTGCAACCAGCTGGCACTGTGACACTGTTATTGAGTAGCTGCATTTTGGATGAGATGAACGCCTCTTTCAACTCCGTAAGGTTATTTAGCTTATTAAAGACACGCCTTCTGGCCATTCAGCAACGCTTGATGACTCAATGCTTGGGTCTCTTATAAAGATAAGTTTAACGTCTTCACCCATACATATTTTTCAGATCTGTTCTCTTTACTTAAACATTGAACACTATGAATCATTTGCACTTTTGTGTTTCTGATTTGTGTATGATAGTTCGAAATCAAACGCAAAATTTATTTTGATATGCTGCTGATCGGACATATTCATATGTTCGTTACGTCTTTAAAGGGTTAAGAGGTAGACCTCCAATTTGCCGTCCATAAGACCCAGCCAACTCGGCGGAGGTTCTTGTAAATTCCCCAAAATCAAGAACGTCCCACTGAGGATTCGAACCAAGGCCAGGCACATCACAGTCCAGTGAGTGTGATATCAACTCGTGGCCGTCATTCAACAATGCAGTAGCTCTACATGAGTATGAACACCAACATTTCGACCCCCCCAAAAAAAACAACAACAGCAAAACAAAACAAAACAAAAAAACCAACAACAGAAAATCAAGTATGTTGTAGAGTTCAATGAGTCACATGAATTAGATCTAGTACTTGTCTCATTCCTTTCTTAAAATCAATTTAAATATAAGAGTTTAAGACGAATTAGATATTGTATTCACAGAAGACAATGGTCAGAGCCCACACATTTATGTTTTACTTTGAATTCTAAAAGGTTCTCTCTCTCTCTCCCTCTCTCTCTGTCTACCTGTCTGTCTGTCTGTCTGTCTGTCTGTCTGTCTGTCTGTCTGTCTGTCTGTCTGTCTGTCTGTCTGTCTGTCTGTCGTGTTTCGGCTTGGTGCGCGTCATCATCCAACCATCTCTCTCCTGTTGATGTCGGAAACTGGTTCCAAACACATGTGCACCCCGATCAATTACA